GCACTCCCACCAACAGTGTAGGAGTGTTCCCTTTTCACCACACCCTCTTCAGCAACTGTTATTTTTTGAGTTATTGATAATTGTCATTCTGGACTGGAGTTAGGTGGTATCTTAGTGTGGTTTTGATTTGCATCTTCTTGATGACTTTCATTTCTTGAATCCACCAAAATACCCAGGTTGGGCACCTTTTCTCTTAAAGTGACCCAGTGAGAGTCTCCTCCTTTCCAGTCTCATTTCTCTGCTCTAATCCAGGTCTTCATAAATCCTTAGGCTATTAGCTGATTTCTCTGCTTGCCTTCTTCAAGGCCCTGTAGCCACTACAGAATCGTTCTCCATGTGCAGAACTGCCCATAGCTCCCCTTTCCAAAATTCTTCAGCCTCGCATTTGAAGCTTTTCTGCTAGTGCTCACCTGTGTGTGCTGCTCTTATGCAGTGTGTGTGCTGCTCTTATGCAGTGCAGATCCTCCATGTAAGTATAGCTTGTCTTATCATCCCTGTTTTTACCACTGCAGTGCCTCTGCTCTTGTTCTTCTGTCCTCCACTCATCTTCCCCTCCTTTTCACCATTCCTCAGTGCCCATCCCTTTTCACAACTCTGTTCCATGCTTATCTATGTCTTTTTTTTTTTAGTTGGAGTCTTACCCTGTTGCCCAGGCTGGAGTGGAGGCAGTGGCATGATCACAGCTCACCACAGCCTCGACTTCCTGGGCTCAGGTGATCCTCCCGCCTCAGCCTCCCAAGTAACTGGGACTACTGGTATAGGCCACCACACCTGGCTAATTTTTTTATTTTTTTATAGAAAAGAGATCTTGCTATGTTGCCTAGCCTGATCTCTAACTCCTGGGCTCAAGCAGTCCTCTCACCTTGGCCTCCCAAAGTGTTGGGAATACAGGCATGAGTCACCACACTTAGCCCTCAAGCACTTTTTATATAGAACACTGACTTTGTACTTCATCATACAGTTACTGTCAATAAAAAACTCCTTATCTCTAATTGTAAAACCCAACAAATTTGGAAAACTGAAGCTTTTTTTTTTTTTTGAGTTGGAGTCTCACTCTGTCACCCAGACTGGAGTGCAGTGGCCGCTCCCGGCCATTGCAGCCTCGACCTGCTGGGCTCCGGCGATCCTTCTGCCTCAGCCTTCCAAGTAGCTGGAACTACA